AGGGTAGGAGTGGGGTGGTGACGGGGGGGGGGGACGGGCTCCACGCCCCCTCCCCACAACATCAGTAGCTCTCACCAGCACAGGAGCAGAGATGGAAGAGTCCCTCAGTCCCACAACAAACCCCCTCCCCCGTGTCCTGCAGCCGTCCTGTGACTCCTCCTCGCCCAAAGCAGCAGGCTCCGAAGCAGCAGGCAGCCAGGAGACCCCAGGGAGGGTGGTGGAGCCTCGCATCCCTCCGGAGGGCAGGGCAGGCCAGCCAGCGGCAGCCAGGGAGCGCTCCCGCCAGCAGGACAGCCAGAAAGAACAGACCAGGCACTGCAGTGAGGCGGAGGGGGCTCCCTCTGACCCAGCAGTGGATCGGGGGAACTGGAGGTATAAAAGGCCCAGCCCCCAACTCAGCTGGAGCGGAGACAGATGCATCCTGGTAGCTCCAGGCTGCAGCTTTGCTGGAGCCAAGAGACACCCTGCTCCCGGAGGAACCCGGGGACCTGCCGTGACTGCCACTGGCTACCAACCCCGGGCAGACAGGCCCGCCGCTGACCCAGGTACGCCCCGAGGGGAGGGGAGGGAGGAAGTGGCCCGGGGCAGCGTGAAGCGCGGTCAGTGTACTGCGGCTGGACTCCCTGCTAACCCAGCGGCGGATCACTCCACCACTGTTAGGCCCTGGGCTGGGACTGGTGGAGTTTGGTAGGCCCCAGGCCCCCCACCGCTGGGGTGGCAGCCTGCCCACCGTAGGCCAGTGTTCACCTGCCAAAGCCACGGTGCTAGACTGTTCACCACTCCACCCTGCTTTAGAGTTGGGGCCTTGGACTAATGGTGCCCGCCTTGCCTGAGGCCTGGGCCCCTAAAGCGTTGTCTGCTCTGCCCCGCTTAAGGGCCAAGAGCCCACAGACTCCCGGGGGGCCCTGCTCCTGCCTGAGGATCAGAACCCTGATACTGACAGGGGTTTTGCCTGTTAGGGTGGTCAGGACACTGCTAATTCCCCTGAGATGAGGCAGGTGCTGCGGCCTCCCTCAGACCCAGAAGGGGAGGGACGATTACACCACCACCACCAGTCTGTTCCTGGAATCTAAGCCACTCATTAAACAGATCCCAGAAGGTTTCCACCCCCTGGCCTCCTCCCTTTCTCCACCCTGTGCATTTCCTGCCCCACTTCAACCTCCAAACCAGACTGCACAAACCTTCCCATCTCCTGTGCATTTGCTGCCCCTCTCCCTCCTGCAGGAACCCACCAGGAACCCTCCAATGATCCCTACCTGGACTGGCTCCTCTGCAGCCATTTCCCTTCCCTGTCTCATCAGAGGCTGGGATCAGCTGGAGCGAAACGTGGGCGTCATTCTGCAGCCTGGCAGGGCGAGAAGGGCAGTTGTGGAGGTTTCAGAACAGACTTTAGTTCATTTCACATCACGACTCCCCCAGGCCCTTTCCCTGCAGACAGACATCCTAGATTCTGCCATGCTAGGAACATGCTTGACCTCTTTTACAGTGTAGACCTGGCCCCTCCTGCCAGGCAAAGCCCACACAGTTTTAAGCACCCAGAAAAGAGCAGAACCAAAGGAGTCACTTTGGGGGATTACCCCGACACTGACCCCCGAGCCGTGCACACCCCAGCTGGGGGGATATGGAGTCAGGAACTGGCTTTTCTTCTCCCAGATCACAATGGAGGCTGCAGCCTCTGACCCAGGAAGCTGAATCCTAATACCCAGGACAGATTGAGCCACCTTCCCTCTTTTAGCAACAAGCAGAACCCTGTGGTAAGAGCAGCTAATGAAACCCCCTCCCGAGAGGGACAATTGTTCATGGCACTCGTAGCCTTTCCTTGCAGTGACTCCGGATTAACACTGGTCTCAATGACACCAGAAGCACAGTTCAGAAAGGAGGAGGCCAGAATCCTCTTCAGCAGATCACCGTGTGGGACTCCTAACCCCCTTCCCACCTCCCTCACCCCCCAGATCTAGGACAAGGACTCAGGGCAAGAATTCTCCCACAGAACTGGAAGTTCCTGCAGTTTTCTAGAGGGAAGAGAAGCAAAAATCTGCTGGTGGTTTCACCTCTCAGTGTCTGATAAGTGGATAGAAAGTTATCACCAACCTCTGCTGGCCACTCACACAGGCAGAGGGAGCCCTGGGGGGTGCATCTTTAACAGGAGAATGGAAGGGCAAAATAGTGAAGACATGTCCAGGCCTCTCACTAACAAATAATGGCCACCTGGATCCACCCCAGAGGTGGCTGCATCTTAGCACTGCGGGAAGCAGCCCCTCATAGAGACCCTTTGTCATGGGGTTTGAGAAACTTCTGGACCCACGCTGCACTCAGAGCGACCTCCTCATCCTGTGCCAGCTGGAGAAAAGAAAAGGGTCCAGCCAACTCTCCTGTTACCAGCTAGGATCCATTGATCCCCCAAACAGGGGGAGGCCTCTGGCTTTGACGTGTATTAAATATGTGGCTGGTCTCTTTCATCGGCAAACCTTTTCACGTAGATAAAGAGGGGAACAAATGACTCTCAAAGGAGAGGAGGAAGATGATCCTTATGCAATTTAACCCCCTTAAAGTCCAGGATTTTTAATTGCCGTTTGATAATGACATAGAAAGAGGCAAACCTGAGATCTGAGTCCATGTTCAGAAATGGAAGAGAAAAAGGCAGAAATGTGAGGAATGTGGATCTAGTTTTGTAAATTTGAGAAAAGTGACAAATGGTGGGGAAGTGATGTCAGTGGTGGAGATGAGGTGAAAGCTGAGTGTGTTTCTCATCAGTATCTGATAAATGAAGAGAAAAAAAGGGGCAGGAAGGGGTCAATCTGGGATTATTGGTATTTGATAATCAAAGCAACGGGGGGATCTCGGGGCACGTTCAGTCAGTGACAGACACCGGGAGAGAAACAGGGGCGACATGGGCACAGATTTGAGACCCGGGTTGGAGAATCGGGGGAAGGGTCAATCTGGGATTGTTGGTATTTGATAATCAGAGCGATGGGGGGGGGGGGGTCTCGGGGCACGTTCAGTCCGGGACAGACACCGGGAGACAAGGGGGATATTCGAGGTTTGGATCCAACCTGTGAGACTGGCGGAGAAAAGCGGGTCCCAGACTCGGGATTTGCTCCCAGGGCAGGAACCGGGAGGGCCCCGTGGGTCGGGGTTTGTAACGGGGGTGTGACCCGGGGGGGGGGGGAAGTGGCACAAACAGGGACTGGATCCAATTAACTCCCCCCGGGGATTTCCTGCTGCCCTGAGACAGTTCAACCCCCCGCCCCCCACTGACCTCCCCTTCCCCCGCACTGACCCCCGCGACTCCGGTTTCTCCCCCCGGGGATTTCCTGCTGCCCCGGAACAGTTCAACCCCCCGCCCCAGCTTCGGCTCGGCTCCGTCCCCGGCCCCGGCTCCGGCTCTTACCGGCTTCCGCAGCCTCCCCCCGCACCGGGGAGAAGTGGAGGCGAGGCGGGCAGCAGAGGCCGGAAGTGACGCACCCGCGGGCCCGGCGCGAGGCGGTTCCGTTAGGACGGTTGGAACGAGCGCGCCGCGCGCAGGGGGGCGGAGCCGGGAGCTGCCCCGGGTTGCGGGGCGGGGCCAGAGCCCAGGCGACGGGGGGGGGCCTGGCGCGCGGGTGCTGCCCCGTCCCAAAGTGGGAGGGGGGCTCAGCGGGGCGGCTGCTGCGGGGAACGGGGGGTTCAGTGAGGGGGTGCTGCGGGGAACGGGGCTCAGCGGAGGGGGGCGGGTGCTGCGGGGAACGGGGGGCTCAGCGGGGGGGGGGCGCTGTGCTGCAGGGAATAGGGGGCTTAGGGGGGGCGCTCGCTGCGGGCAGCAGATTTGAATCCCAGCTGTTCTTGTCCTATACCTGCCTGTGCCTAGTCCCTGCACTCCAGGAGAAATGTGCTGCCCTCAGGGACCATGTCAGGGTTGTAGAAGGCCTCAGTGGGTTTAGCCCTGGTGGGAAGGGTTGGGTATGTTCTGTAATAAAATAATAGAATGACTGATTATTTTCCCAGGGAAAGTGCTAGGGGGAATCAAGATGTGACTTGAACTAAGGTTCCTTCTGAACTCTCACCTGTTCTCCCTCTCACCCCGACAGGCTGTAGAATAACACCCACGTTTAGTGCCGGATTGCCTCATTCCCCCAGGAGAAGGGGAAGGGAAATGGCTGCGGAAGAGGAGGCTCAGGTAGGGACCACAAGGGAGTTGTTGGTGTTTTCCTGCTGGAGGGAGAGGGGCAGCAAACAGGCGTTTGGGGCTTCTGTGGGGTTCAGTCTGGAGCTGGGGTAGGAAGTCCACAGGCTGGAGAAAGGGAGGGGATCAGGGGGTGACAAACCTGCTGGGACTTGTTTTACTTGGGGACTAGATTATAGGAACAGACCCCCGGGGGTTATGGTGGAGATTCCTTATTTGTGGAACAGAAAACAACCCCCTGACCCGGGGCCGGGAAAAACAATCAGATTCTCAGTGCTGGAGCACGAACCTAGTACGCGGAGAGGCACCAATGAGACACCCCATCCCCTCCCATCCAGCTGCTGGCAATGGGGAGGGTGTTCTAATTCCCACCAGGGTCCCTGGTTCCTGCTGGGGGCTCCATCTCCTGTATCAGCCTATGGCTAGTAGGTGTGTGATGAGTGTGAGGGCCCCTGTCCCCTCTCTCTGCTAGGAGGGGTGAAGGGCTCTCGCTTTCTCCCCTCACCCTGATGCCTCCTTGCTGCTCTGAAGAGGGTGGGACTCTGGGCCTCCCAGAGCTTATAATTAATTGGCCTTGCTGCCTCACGAAGAGTGGGGCTGTGAGTGGGGCAGCAGTACTGAGTGCGGGGCTCTTGCTCTTTCAGGGGGCGGTGACCGTTGAGGAGGTGGCTGTGTATTTCACTGAGGAAGAGTGGGCTCTGCTGGATCCCGCTCAGAGAGCTCTCTACAGAGCCGTCATGCAGGAGAACTATGAGACTGTGACCTCGCTGGGTAAGGATTCCCGTCCCCTCGGTTCTTAGAAGGGGAAATGACGAAATAAAGTACACATCACCCCTACAATGCAACTTGTACTCTGCCCTGTTTCAGCATCACCCCGACATGCCAGTGACACACACCAGCTTTCTGCCCTCCCCTGCTACACAACACTGCGGGAACAGAGCCCAGGAGCAGAACAGCACAAATTCTAACATCGTCTTTCTACTAAGGCAAAACTTGGGTTTAGCTCCATCCTTGCAAACAGAAGCTGCTTATGCTCAAACACGGAGCCTACTTCTCACAAACCATCTCAGACTTGTAAAATGTTACCCTCTCTTTACCGTCGCCCCGAGAATTCCTTCTGCCTCGTCGCCTTCACGTATCCCTCACTGAGCCCGGGAGACCCCTAGCGTGTATCCCACCAGAGCGCTGACAAGAACGCACCCTTCTGCACCTTTAGTGACACAGCCTACAACACTGAGCACTGACATGGGGCAGACTCGGTCCCTCAGGGGTCACCTGCTCCTCTCTGCATACCACAGTCACAGCTCTGCCAGGCTGCTCCAACTAATCCCTCCACCATCCAATTACAGCTGCAGCTGGCCCAGGGGCACAGCCGGAGGGCATGCGGATAAATGCTGGTGTTCCCATCTCTGGAACACAACACAAACAGTAGCATGTTCCCTTAGTCCTTCCTCATATTGATTATAGAGTCATAGGTTTTATGGCAAGAAGGGATTATAAATTCATCTAGTCTGACCTCATGTGTAAGAGGCCAAAGAATCTCATCCAGTTACTGTGGGATTGAGCTGAATAGCTTGTGCTGGACTGAATCATCCTCCAGAAAGTCATCAAGTCTTGACATGAAGATTTGGAGTGATGGAGAATCGTCCGCTTCCCGTGGTGGTGTGTTCACCTTTGGAACGGGGGCCACAGCAGGAGCTTTGCCGTGGCAATCCCGGTCACCCTTAAAGGTTGGGAATCCCACAAAACACCTCCTATTATCACTTTTCCACTTCTCCTTACTATGGTGCTATAAAACAGAGGACGACATCAGTGACAAGAACTTTCATCCAAGTCCGGACACAAAAGAGTCCTTGTCTCTGCATAAAAGATGAAGGACTCAGTTCCTAAACAGCAGGGCCTGCGGACCCCAGTTTGAGAGATGCTGCACTGACATAAGAACATAAGAGCAGCCAGACTGGGTCAGACCAAAGGTCCATCTAGCCCAGTGTCCTGTCTTCTGACAGTGGCCAGTGCCAGGTGTCCCAGGGGGAATGAACAAAACAGGTAACGATCAAGTGATCCATCCCCTGTCACCCATTCCCAGCTTCTGGAAAACAGAGGCTAGGGACACCATTCCTGCCCATCCTGCTAATAGCCATTGATGGATCTATCCTCCATGGACTTATCTAGTCCTTTTTTGAACCCTGTTATAGTCTTGGCTTTCACAACATCCTCTGGCAAGGAGTTCCACAGGTTGACTGTGCGCAGTGTGAAGAAATACTTTCTTTTGTTTGTTTTAAACCTGCCACCTATTCATTTCATTTGGTGAAATTCTAGTTCTTGTGTTATGAGAAGGAGTAAATAACACTTTCTTATCTACTTTCTCTACACCAGTCATGATTTTATTGACCTCAATCCTATCCCCCCTTAGCCGCGGGTCAGTATCCCCACCAGCTGATGCTGAGTTGACTAAAGCCACAACAAAGTTTTCTTGCTCAGTTAAACTCCTGACATGGTGACCCAAACAGACAAGAGTTCAATTGTGGGCAACAAAAGCAGAAAACGGCCCTGTAGCCTTTGCACTCCAGTTCCCACCCAGGGCAGATCAGCCCTGGATATATGGTATGGCCTTAATTCACTCTGCGCAGGAGTTGGCTTATCTAGAGATGCGATGACAAGTGAGACGATGTCACAGTCCCCAGTGGCTGGGAGTGTGGCTGAGAGACTCAAAATACGAAGAATCTGACCTGTGATGCCAGCCAGCTCCAGGGCTGTGGGCTGGGGAGCAGAGTTAAGGTTTCATAGTAGGGATAGCGTGAACTTGAACTCTTCATTTTCTGGGTTTCAGAGATTTAAATGTAGCCACCTTCCATCTGGGAGGGCGCGTGCAGAACTGGGCAACTTGAACTCTGCATTAAAGTTGTTTATGATCATTTAATTTCTGTGTTTTAAACAAATGAACTTCCTCCTACCGCCACTATAACTGGGTCTACACTAGAGATTTTGCTGCCATATCTGTGTTCGTTGGGGATGTGATTTTTTCCACAGCCCTAACGAACCGAGCTATGATCACAAAACTTTTAAGTACAGACCAGGCCAGAGTCTGCATTTTAGAGCAATTTAAAACATTTCTCTTAACTCCAAACTGTTGGTATCATGGAACTCCTGCAG